CAAGTAGACTCTAATATAATTTAATCATACATTGTATTGGTTCAAATTATTAAAATATCTGAATTTACTCTCACTATCTGTTTCTGCTTCTCTATCATATTTATAGTGTGTGATTCGCAAAATACCTATCATAGCCTACGTCACATATCATAGGGTGACCAGACGTCCTCTGCTTCAGGGACAGTCCCCGTTTTTGGCTGCCTGTCCCTGGCTAAATACAGAACAAAACTCTGAATAGAAGTAATAGTATTAATTTAAAATAGAATAAAATTGATAGTCAAACTGGAAATGTCCCCGTTTTTTCCCCGTTTTCGGGGATTATGTTCCCAGTTTTGATCTCGGACGTCTGGTCACTTTACATCATATATCATAATATTCTATTACTGTTGAGCCCACTATGAATATTAAAATACGCCGAACCATTTATCCTGTGTCATAGCTACATGTATGACCTTTGCAGCATGAAAATCAGTTCAGTATTAAGTGAGGTATGATTAATTAAATGCGCTGACAGCTCATTGCACCTGCCCAACAGATTACACTGAGTGGAGTGGGGGACCAGTTCAAGATGGCGGCCTCACGGCTTGTCCGCGCCAGTAGGCAGAAGTGGTTGATAGGGCGTCTATCTCTTATATGTCTATGGCGGGCACCCCCTCCTATGGAGGTCCCTGTATTTTGTCATCATGTTTCTACCGTAGCCGTCAACGAACAAACAGCGCTACAGAGTGCATTTCGTCATCACGGCGTTCTTCTTCTGCTTGTGTAATTTGTGGATTTTCCCAGATGGAGGGCTATAACCTTAATGTGGGACAGAAGTTTTCAAAGCGGTGCTGAAGTTGTCTGTTTTCTGCTGGACAGGTAATTAACTTTGTTTGTCAGACTTTAGCGATGCAAATGAAAACTGTTGTTTGATAGCTTTAGCTAGAAGATGACCATAATCACAGAGAGCTGATTAGTAAATTTTACTTTACCTTTTTTGGCAATAAAACCATAACTTAGCTTAGAGCATCAGCCAACTAAATAAACCTTTACTGCCCTGGTAGAAAAACATTTATTGTTAGTTTGATTTATTCTCCAGCGCTGTGCTTTGGCTTGTGATGTTATGTTAGTTGGATTAATTTCATGTAGTTACTCTCTCTCTCTCTCTCCAGCGCTCTGTTTTTGGCTTTGTATGTTATGTTTGTGAGAATTAGCTGAATGCTAATTGGCAATAAAACGGCAGCTTCAAGCATTGAGGCTCAGATCAACCAGCTAAACTTTTACTGCGCTGGTAGAAAAAATATGTAGTTGGATTGTAATTTCATGTAGTTCTTCTCCAGCGCTCTGTTGTGGCTTTGTTACCTGGACAGAAATGCGCTGTTACCTTCCTGAGACAAACAGCTGATGAATATTAATTGTAATGAAACAGTAACAGCAGGGAAGCTCAGATCAGCAGCTAAACTTTACATTTTACTGTCCTGGTGGAAAACATGTATTTCTTTTTACTGCTAATGGTGATATGACAAGACCGTGTCCCTATCAAGTGACCAATAATAAATACTTTCCGAATTTGCAATGCGCAACCCTCACCACTAGATGTCACTAGAACTTACACACTGAACCTTTAAATAACACAAGCTACACAATCTGCTGTAACTTAAACCAGAACCTTGAGAAATACATGCTAATATTTTTGAAGTGGTAAATTTGGGAAGAGAAAATTAACACATTCTACTACATGCAAATGAAATGTCAATTCATAAGTAATTAAGCACACCTTTACGTGATTCAATACACTTTTGTTTGGTCTGGTATGACCAATAGCTTTTGGTGGCTAATGTTAGCTAACTTTAGCCACCAGTTGTGTTGTGTAACTAACATAACTGATTTAGTTACGAAATTTTCACTTGCAGCCAAAGTGGCATCTCTTTAGCTAAAACTACATGGCCTTGAATCATTTATAGGCTTCAAACACACAACAACTTACATTACACAAAACATTACTTGATGCCAGCACTGACTGCCAATTGCTCCGGTTTGATTGACAGAATGCTGTTTAAAGTAAAAATCCAGTTAGCTGCATGAACCAGGCTAAAGCCCTCTGACAAAAGAAAAACCTACTGAATCCAGAGGAGAATGCCTCCAGTGTGAGGTAGCCAGTGCGATCTGTATCCAGAGAGTCAAACACATCCTCCAGCTCCTCCGCAGTCAGAGGGAGCTCTCTGTGGAGCCTCTGCCAGGAAAACATAAACATACAGGACATTTAAATGCTGTTGTACTGAGCTTAGCTCAACAGGAACTATCGGCACTACCAAACATTACACATAGCTGACAGTGGACACAATTTAAAGTAACTTTTATGATAGTATAAGTAGGTATAAGTAAGTATCTAAATCAATAAATACAGAAAAATGTATGATGACTCAAGCATGCAAAGCACAGAATCAACACGGTCACAAAGTGGCTGTTTTATGTGTCACTGTACAGAGATTTTCTTGGAAACCCTCAACAAAAACAACATCAACAAAATGTAAAATGCTCACAAGGGCCCTGTCCTACTTAACTAACAACCCAGCTTGGACATTGTTAGATGGTTGAAGAGGCTTGTGTGTATTATTCCTGCCTGTGTTCTACATTTCAGCCAGTGAAAGTGTGTGTGTATGAGCTACTCATAAACATTTCCATCAATGGTGCTACTCTGCCACTTCACCAACTGTCCCGGGTGCGCCAAGTGGGTGAAGTGCTTCTTTAACAATGCTGATATAACATGGAAAAAAAAAACTTTATCTCGGAATGGAAGCAAAAATGGCAAGCGTGTCACTAAGTGTTTCCTGCTCGCCATTCACTGTAATTACGGCGCCACAGGATGCTAAATTATGCCACAGGTAAAAGCAATCCTCTCCACCTATTGTTCTTCTTAATGGAGGCTAAATGCATTCGCAGAGCACCTATGCATTTTAAAAGAGAGAATGTGTGACATTAAAGAATGTGAGTGGCCAGGAAAAACAAACCTCTCCAAAACATGTAGAGTTGTAACAATTAGTGGATTAATTTATTAATTAATTGACTAATTAATTCATTTAAATAATTAAGTAAATATGTTTTTCTTTTTGTGGTCTTATAAACATAGTTAATTGAATATATTTGGGTTAAAAGCTGTTTGGACAATAAAAGCATATTCAAGACATGACTTTGACCTCTTAAGATCTTGTTATTTTTTAAAAAAATTTTACACAAAACTTTTCACTGATCAAAATATTCAGCAGAAAATAATCCTTAATTGCGGCTCTAAAACCATGCCATAAATATCTCTCATGAAAAACTGGACAGTTTAAATCTCCAATATTATTATATGACTCCAAGCTAATGTAACAACACAGACAGGCTTCTTTCTGACCCTCATATCGGTGCGGGTGATGAAGCCTTTGCCCTCCACATCGCAGGTCCGGAAAAACTCCTTGGTCTTGTCCAGCAGGGCGATTCGTCCCCAATCTGAGCCCCTCCTCCCTGGCCTCAGTCCAAAGCCATTCACCCTGCCCTCCTCCTCCATACCTGGGACTCTTTTTTAAGGACACTTGAGCAGCACGGTGTGTAAGTATCATGTATTTCACTGTCAGTCCGGAGTGGAATCAGACATCAAGCCTCCTCACTGGCCCTGCATGTGGTGCTCTGGGGCTCTTACAGTCGCCATGGCGACAGAGAAAGGAAGTGACATCAAATGATGAGATCGCTGATAACTTTGTGGCTTAGGCTATACATACACTCAAAATGGCCTGCAGGCTCCTGTGAGACAAAGAAATAATACAAATACAGTACTTCTTAGTAACGCACTGGGAAAGGGGACATTTCTGAGGAAAACTAGTGGGAACATGTTGCACTACAACAGAACATAATTGCAACAGTACCCCACTTGTTAAACCTATACAGTACTTCCCTTTTCTAATAAGCCAGGAACAAGCAACTCACAAAAGGTATGTAAACACAGTGTAAAGGATTATCTTAATACCCCGCCATACAGAACACATGACAGCATAATGCCCACAAAAGCCGTTACCAAGAGGCACACTCTCAGCTGAACTCAGTACTGTAATGTAGCCCCCCCTCTGTGCTTTCACAACCATTTAACAAGGTTTTAAAGTACTTTGTTTGTACTGTCCAGGGCTGGGGTCCAGTTGGAGATTCTATATAATTTCAGTGTTTCTTCTCATGATCGAAAAGTTTGTTTTATTTGTTAGTAAGACATTGAGTTTTGGCTTTGCAGCAAATAAATCTGTTTAAAAACTGAAAATTTGACATTAAATACATTACACTGTACTTAATATCCTTTATGACGCAAATACATTCTCTTAATCCACAGTCCTCAATCACGTTACCCTCTGCAGTATAACATTGCTGTCAAAAACGGCTATACTCTTCTAAATATTAAGTTTAAAGGATAAGAAAAGCTTAGGGCCTTTCTTTAAAACAAATACAAAACTTGTGGCAAATTCCTTCTGCTCCCAAACTTAGATCCTGCTTTAACCAGATACACATCTTAAACATCCTCTGCAAATACAAATCACTTCTTCAAACAAACCAGAAACAGGAGGAAAGGTCTTACCTTTTACAAATGAAATGCACAAGCAACTGAAGCCCCTTTTCCGCTCTCAGTATCAACAGAGCAGTGAGCGCACTCAGTGTTTAGGGTAGTCTTAACTCACAGATGAAACGTTAGAGAAGTCATTCTGCAACCATGTGATGTCATGAGGAAGTTGCCGGGGGCTTTTGCAGCCTGCTTCCACGTGCTGCTCCCACACTGACAGAGAGGTGAACTCTCTTTTATGCGGGCTACACGTATGCAACATGTTTACATTGCCTGTAACTATGACACCAGCAGCCGCAGGACTACTACCATCTTGTGTTATTGACAGGAGAACATTACAGATTTTGGAGTCAAATTTAAGGGTTAATAAAAGCAAAACTAAATGACTGAATATTGAATGATTTTGCGTCATGGCAAGTAGCTTTCAAGCAGATACAACTTTGAATTTGTTGGCTATAAGAACCTCTAACATTTATTGAATTAAAAAAAATGTCTAACATGAGCATGTTTTTCCATCTCTTCAAATCTTACAACGCCCTCTTGTGGTCTGAGGTTAAAGTGGGCCACAGCATTATGTTATCAGGGACAAAATACTGAAAACACACACACACACACACACACACACACACACACACACACACACACACACACACACACACACACACACACACACACACACACACACACACACACACGTCGTTATAGCTTTAAGTCCATAGTCAAATACAGGCAAGGTCCATTTTCCTATTAATTCTCCACCATCAGTTCTGACTTGGGAGTCATTTTGTAGGTCCTTGGATCTTTTGAAGCAAATACTCCATTTGGAGGTTCAGATTGGGCTGCCCTTTCTTGGTTTTTTTGCTCAGCATCTGAAACGTCTCCATCTTTTTCTCTTTGTACTTCTGAATGGCTGCTTCTCTCTGCTGCTTGTTCTTCAGGTACTCCTGGGATTAAACAAAAAGTACATGCAAAAACAACAAACACAAGAAAACCCGTCAGCAGCAGAAAGCGATTTCATTTGCAGTCACAAAACAACTAAAGCTTTGACCTTTTTTATGGCTAATCGTTAACAATAAAACAGAAACACTTCACCTCTTTCTTCTTTTTCCGTTGTTCTCTGACTGTCTCAAATTCCTCTTTTGTCTTCTGGTAAGACGTCTTCTTCTGCATTTTCTTCCTCATACGGTTGCTCATCGGAAGACTGCAAGAGAATATTATGAAGGCATTATTACTCTGTTTCCCAATCTGCTTGAAAACTGACAGTTGAAGAATAAAAGAAATAATAAAACTACACTCCAATTTAGGCATTATCCATGTTTCCACTTCAACTTACAGACTTTCGCCCGTAGATCGCAAACATTCACAGTTCTCTTATGAGACCTTAAAAACTCATTGGTGGATAGTATAAAAAATCCCTCATCGTTAATTTAAAAAAGCTGGTTTCTGAAAGAGTTTGCATTTTCGTGTTTCAAGGTTTTAATCTAAAAACCACTGACATCTAACATATCAAAATGATAAATATGAATGAATCAGAATGGCCACAGAATGTTGCAATAGCCACTAGTACTCCACTTATTTAGCCTTGCACTGATGTAACATTCATCATTCTTCTTCTTCTACCTTGTCAAGAGCAGGCACCTAATTTTCAAAACCAATGCTGCAGAAAAAAATCAATTCATTGCATACAATTAGTCCAAAACGCTGCGGCTCAACTTCTAACTTGCTGGGAAAAAAATGTGACCACATCACCCCAGTTTTAGCATCCTTTCACAGGCTGCCTGTTTCTTTTAGGATTGATTTAAAAATGCTTTAAATTACTTTTAAAGGCCAGACATGGGCCAGCACCTTCATATAGCGCTGAGCTTTAATCCCCCTATTAGCCAAGACGCAGACTGAGATCCACTGGTAGGTCGTTGCTAATTATTCCATTGGCCAGGCTAAAAACCTAAAGGAGACACGGCATTGGTTGTCTGTGGCCCTGTACCCCGGAACAGTCTACTACTGCCTCGCAGTTCCTGCTTTTATCTCACTTCAATCAAAATCAATGTGTGTTGCGTAATTTATTTCTCCATTATTTGTAAAGCAAGGCAAGGCAAGATTATTTATCTAGCACATTTCAACAACAAGGTAATTCAAAGTGCTTTACATACAACATAAAAGCAACAGGGAAATATTTTAAAAAAGTTTTAAAAGTTAAATAGAAAATAAAAACAATGAATCAGAATGTACATTGACAGGTTTATATTGACTGTATTATATTACAGGAGTGTTTCCCTTTAAATTTTAATTTCTGAAAACTCAAACCTGTACAAGCACAGAAAGTCTATTGAAAAAAGTTCAAACCAGGTTGAAAGTTCAAACCTCTTCTCCCATGTGCAATACTTATTCCCCAAAATGCTTTAATTTACGGTACTGGGCACTTCATTACTTATATCATAGTTTCAGGTATTAGCCAAGACGCAGACTGAGATCCACTGGTAGGTCGTTGCTAATTATTCCATTGGCCAGGCTAAAAACCTAAAGGAGACACGGCATTGGTTGTCTGTGGCCCTGTACCCCGGAACAGTCTACTACTGCCTCGCAGTTCCTGCTTTTATCTCACTTCAATCAAAATCAATGTGTGTTGCGTAATTTATTTCTCCATTATTTGTAAAGCAAGGCAAGGCAAGATTATTTATCTAGCACATTTCAACAACAAGGTAATTCAAAGTGCTTTACATACAACATAAAAGCAACAGGGAAATATTTTAAAAAAGTTTTAAAAGTTAAATAGAAAATAAAAACAATGAATCAGAATGTACATTGACAGGTTTATATTGACTGTATTATATTACAGGAGTGTTTCCCTTTAAATTTTAATTTCTGAAAACTCAAACCTGTACAAGCACAGAAAGTCTATTGAAAAAAGTTCAAACCAGGTTGAAAGTTCAAACCTCTTCTCCCATGTGCAATACTTATTCCCCAAAATGCTTTAATTTACGGTACTGGGCACTTCATTACTTATATCATAGTTTCAGGTAGTAATTTATCTTCAATCACTCAGATCACTTACATGTGAGAATTATGTTTTAGAGCAGTTTTCTTACCTTTCTTTCTCTGAGGCTGCAGTTGGTTCAGGGTTCCCAGTGACAGAATCTGTCAACTCAGATCCACCAGTAACTTCTGCACCTGGATCAGCAGCATCACTCTGGCATGCAGCGCCATCATTTACACCCGTCTCTTCTCCCTTCTCCTGCCCTTTCATCCTCACCTTACTCCTGTTCATTCTATTGGTCCAGGCCTCGTTCTTCAGCTTCTCTGCCTCGGCCAGGTACAGATGCCTGAGGTGTTCTGGGTACTCGTCCTTGTAAAGCGGTTTGGACTCAGGGGTTTTTTTCCTCTCCTTCCGCAGCAGCTTGTTGTACTCATGTTTGACTTTTTGCTTCCTCTTTAAAGCAAACCCCTGGCCTTAAGACAAAAAGACAAAGGCATGCCATGCAATATTAAGTCGAGAGTACAAGCCGAATTTTTTGGAAGACCAAGATATTTTGAAAAAATGGATAATAAAGATTTTAGCTAGAATCAAAGTGTGTCACGTAGAAATACAAGTCTAAATTGAGAGATTTCTTAGTTGAGTTCGGCATCACGTTTATTTACAGGATGTGTTGATAGGCTGAGCTGTGCCCCATTATTGTCTGTCTTTGTGAATTAACCAAGCCCCATCTAACGTTAACGTTTACTACAGTTAATGCTTCTCATTACTTTAACAGAGTAAGTTAGCGGTTATAAACTTACCTTCCTTCACACTGCCTTCGAATACTTTGTGCTCGGGGACCCATTTCCTCTTCTTCTTGACCCCCTGTGCGTTATTGTTGGACTTCTTCCAGTTGCCATCTTTTGCTGTAAAATTCTTATTCTTCATTTTTACAGCTGTCGGTGCCATTTCAGCTTAAGCTTATCTGGAAAAGCGAAATGTTTACACTCATGCGGGACTCAGGCTGCATGCCATTTCCTTACAGACGCGGGACGATGACGTGTACAAGACAGACATGAAAAGGCGATAACGCAGCATCCAATCTCGATTATTTATTTCTAAGTCGGTTCATTTAATCCGCATTTAGAATATTTTGTATACCCAGAAGCAAGCGCCTTGTATGTAAGCTAACAGATATTTTATTTTATTTTAAAAAAAATCTGCATTTAATGTCAAATCATCGAACAGTATTTTCGACTGCTAATGTCTGGGCGTGCATCAGCAGTGGACGACTTCTTACGTGCTTCGCTCAGGTCCTCTTAAGGGAGCTTTTTAAAATGATACCCTCCTCATACAGCCTCACAGAAATTCAACGACGGATGGATGAAGTCAAGCGGTTTCTGAATATAACTCTGAGCATCGCCAATGCTCACACGGTGGAGTTTTACACTCACGACGTGTGGAACCGTTTCATGGCGGTGCCACCTCAGGAGGTCCTGTCAACAGTGAGCACATGCAGTGACCAGCAGAGGGAGCCCGAACACAACGCAAAAGGTAAATACCATACATTTGCTCTTGGGGAATGATTACTCGCGGTTGCCTTAAAATATGAAAGTTTGTAGAAGGACATTGTGGGTGTAACTTTCTAATTAGGCATACTGTATAAAAGTTGTACAAGATGTAACCAACAGCTTTAGAAATGGATTAACACATTATTCACAAATTCTTTGTACATGAATTAGATGCCATTATGTAGAACAGTTTTTGGGTTGCTAGATTGTGAAGAAAACCCATAACTATGTGGAAGGTATGACGAACTACCTTCTAAAAAGGGCTGCAGGGAATCTGGATCAAAATCCATTTATTACTAAGGACTTATTAATGAATTTCTACCAAATGGAAAGTATAAACACACACACATACTGGCAACCCTGTCTTTTAAACTTTTTATCTGCCAATTTTTGGAGATAGATTACTTTATATCTTGAGAACTTCAAGCAAAAAGGTTTCATGATGACGATGGAAAGTAGTTTAAATGAAAACTGTTCACATTGAGTGCTGTGACATACCAGTCTTTCTGTAAAATTTCTAAATGTAATTTTCCAAGGCCACTTCCCTCCTTTGTACTCGTACTAGTATAAGCGAGACAACATGTTAAGGTTTTTCTTAATCATTTGGGTGAACTTACCCTTTAAGTGATTTAATTCCTAGCACTAAAATCTATAAAATAAATGTGTGTTAAGTTTTACTAAATAAGACAAAAAGACAAAAACTCAATAGCTACAGTATGTACATGAAAAGCTTTGCACAATTTTGTGCAACCTTACCTTTATTTCTGTCTGTCTGTCTCCCTAAACAGAGCAAGCCGGGACCACCTTCGGGTTTTGCAATGATACAAACCGGCTGGTTGATACCCGTGAACTGTTGCAGGCGGCCAAGGCCCACTCTCTTCCTGGCCTTGGAGTCTGTATGAGCAGGGATGAGCTACTGCAGGCCCTCAGAGAGAAGAGGGAAGAGAATGGTAGGGAAGAATGGACAGTCGGAACACATTGTTTCATGCTGAGAGTGAGAAACCAGTCAAGGATTGTCCGTGAATGTCCAGCTCAAATCATGACCATAACTCAGGTGCTGTTATGGAATTTGATGAATATGAAAATTACATGTTTTTTTTGTTCTGTCTACCCAGGTGCTGAGCTGGAGCCAGATGAGTTCATGAACTCTAAGAAATCTCATGAGGTCCAGTCCATGTCTGAGGTGGTGGCCTGTCTGGCTCAGCGCTGTGGAGTCAAACAGGTGGAGTAGCAATTTTAAAGTTGCAATGAATACCTTAAAGGCTCTTTTAGGGAGATACTTAAAGGGCAAGTTTGGTGTTTTGCCATCTGGATTTTCCCATGTTTTTCTGTATAATTATTTTTTTTTGAGTAATTGGGACAAATTTTTTTTTAAATTGATCCAATACTGGGTGAGCACGCTGCAGTCGGCAGCATCTAGACAGAGCTGCACTCTCTCGCTAACTAAAGTGCTTGTTTTGCCACTGTTTTGTCAAACACCCTAAGTGTTTGTGACAACAATATGGAAAAGATCCCTACAGCAAAATACATTTTTTGTTTGGATTTTTAAAAAAAATCTTTTTTGTTTAACCAATAACAGTCAATATATTGCTCTTGTCAAAGCCATCAGACTCCCTTGAGACAAAAAACCTAATTGATCGCATTTTTGTGTACTCGTGCAAGTTTGTTTTTTTTAACCCTTTAAAACACCAAAGTCACACAACAACACACACAAAATAACCGACCAAGGCAAGTAACTCCCGTGTTCTGCGAGGTAAAATTACAGTTTTTGTCAAGGCATTCTGGTGGCTTTGACAAGAGTGATATAAGGACTGTTTCTAGTTAAACAAAATGGATCTTATTTTTAAAAAAAGGTCTGTCTGTGTAGGGTTCCTTTCTACAGTGTTGTCAGACACTTGTAATAACAATCTGAGCCTGTAAGTGGCAAACACTAGCACTTAAGTGGACTTACTTTGATGGGGCGCAGTTGCCCGCAATACAGTGCAGCACTGTCTCGCTGCTGCTGACTACAGCGTGCTCACTCAATATTGGATCAATTTAAAAAAAAAAACAGTAATTAGTCACATAGACACTAAAACATTGGAAAATAAGGTCCAGGTCGAACAATTTCAAACCTTGCCTTTAATAAAACTGTGAACAGGTTTATCTTAGTAACCTGATTTTGGATTTGATTTTTCCTTCCATCTTTTCTCTTCCACCCAGGTAATAGATATAGGCTCGGGAAAAGGCTACCTGAGCTCCTTCCTGTCCCTGCAGTATGGCCTCCGGGTCTACGGCATCGACTCCTCCACCACCAACACCCACGGAGCCCAGGAGAGGAACAGGAAGCTGAAGAAGTTCTCCAGGGCATACCAGAAACACAGCAAGGCAATGAAGGCACAGAGCGAGGCCACTCACTCACCTCAGGAGGAGTTAGCAGAAATAAAGCCCCTAATGAATGGAGGCGATGATGTTTTATATGTCGATGGGGAAAGTGTTATGTCACAGGAGGAGGAGAAGGTGTTCATCGGCTTGTTAGAGGTCAAACCTGCAATGGAGAGGCATCAAGAGCCAAACCCAGAAACAGAGGAGCTCTTCCTCGGTGCCCTATCGGTAGACGTGATACAGACTACATCCCCCCGAGTTCCCCCCAGCCAACTGAGTGCTGAGGAGAGGGAGAGGAGGAAGAGGGAGAACCTGGAGAGGAAAGCTCAGAACAGAAGCGATGGCGCCAGCACCGTGTTTTCACCCCTCACGTCTTATGTTACTGCAGAAACGGAGCTCCGAGAGCTGATCAACGAGCTGGAGGTGAGGAAACCCAAAGTAAATGTTGGAAATAGATTTGGTGGTGCAGATAGGACGCCAGTACAGTTTAGTAGCAAAAGCACGATTCCCACAGCAGCTCCTAAAATTACAAGTCTGTGACAGCAGCTGGAGTTTGCATTACTGGAGCAAGTGTGGGATGTTATTGCGTGCCAAATCTGCAGCGCGTCACCATCGATAAATTCTACCATCGATCTCCACCCCACCCCTCCTCTGCTTCTGTTCTCTCGAATTCCAGGACGCGGTCATGGTCGGCCTTCACACGTGTGGCGACTTGGCTCCCAGCACCCTGAGGATGTTTGTGGCTAAACCGGAGCTGGCCGCAGTCTGCAGCGTGGGCTGCTGCTATCACCTGCTGTCTGAGGAGTTTGACCCTGCTGGACAGGGTAACCACACTGGGTTTTTTTTTTTTATGAGAACATATGGTTTCTGCTGTACACAGATTTCACGGTCTTACTCTCCGTTTCTGCCTCCCTCCTTCTTTTTCACTCACACACACATCCCATAATCCTACCTCAGACACCTGCGGCGGTCACTTAATCACTCTGATCCAATCTGAAATGAAATATCTTCCCACATAAAGCCACATAAACACTTAGAAACTCATATTTTATAGTAAACAAGTCAAATGTTCCGCTGAGAGTCTGGAGACTCAGCCAAGTTACCCTTCTGGAGATTGAGTTGAGCTCGGAAAGCCGCTGTTTGAGCCATTAAGAGTGGATTTATGGATTTAGGATGGCTGTTTAAGGTGGCTAAAGATGAATTCTTTTGGCCTTTTAATCTAGCAGGGAATCAATTGGATGTGATTGATTGTGCAACTAGTGTGTATTATTTAATCTTGGTTTAGTAGGACTGTTATTTAGTTAGCCTGGACCACACTGAGGAGATTGTATGTCTTCTGCAACCGCCTCAACCGGGAGGTTAATTCAGGTGCCAAAATGTGGGATCATCAACTGATATCATCCTCGTTTCGTGCTCCTTTGCTGCTCAGTTTATGAGGTATGAAATTGTCTACTTGTCTCCTCATGCTGTGACTGTAGCCCCTGCGTATCTACAAGAAAAGAGCCGATACAGTATCGCTTCATGTCTTGTTAACAGCGCGACATTCGACCCTCATGTCATTGGGACCCCGTCGTGGCTTCAGCCAAGATCGCAAAATGATATCACAACAGCTGATTGGAAACACTCCTCTCCAGGCTTGTTCCTCGAACCCTAGCTTGATCTTTTAGAGAAGCGAACAAAAGGCATTCACACACACATACGCATGCACACACTTTCTCCTCCCTATTGGCCTTATAGTTCAGTCTGGGACGCAGGCCAGCTCCTGTGGTGGCCTACCTCACACTAAAACATTAGCTAAAGAGCTGAAAAGCTTCATTAAAGAAAGCAGTTACACATTTATGCAACCCGCTCATTTAGGAATAAACAATTCCTTAAATGCATCTTCAATGTCTAGTAGCTTATGTGGAATCAGGAGTCCAATCTCACGCTGTATACCCACAACAACCCACTCTTAAGATGAGTACATTCAGGCGTCTGGGGTCTGGAGCCAGTGTGTCTCATCACAAAATATTTGCAAGTGTACGGTCGCACACAAGGGCACCAGAAATATTTGTCTTTCTGGATTGCTGTGCATGTACGTGGCCACTTCAGATGAGAACTTTTTGGCCAACACTGGGCCAGCTACTATAAACAGATCTGTGTACGTACTGTAATCTACCCGTCAGAGAGGAGGAAAGGCTTGTCCACTTCACTTGCCTCTGTCAAGCTATGCGCCGGGCAGAAGGGAAGCTAACCTGGTAGCCTGCGCGTTTGCGTGTCCACAGCAGTTTCCGAGAGCCCCAGCCGACCACAGCTGCACATGTTATTATTGCTTCCTTTGGACTGTATCCCTCTGGATTCGCTGGGCCTTGGCCTCAGTCACTGACCCTTTTAGAAATGACATGAAAAGGGATAGCAGGCTGTCAAGTACTCACAGTCAGTACCCTCCCACTGGGAATCTGTGTGTGTGTGTGTGTGTGTGTGTGTGCGCGTGTGTGCGCGCAGAACTGCTATGGTTAGAAATGTGTGGTGCTTTTTGCTTCTCTCACAATAGGTCAACAATTCTCACTTTTTAAGGCAAAATCAAGTTAGATTAGAAGATTGATGTCACTCCTGTGTATGTATTGTAAAAATGAAGCTATAACCCAGGGTTAGCTTAGCTTAGCACAAAGAATGGAAATGGGGTGAAACAGCTGGCTCTGTCTGAAGGTTAAACAACAATTTCAACCAGCACGCCTAAAGATCACTGATGAACAGTGTTGGAAAGGTTACTTTCTAAATGTAATGGGTTACCAAATACAAGTTACCCTATTTAAAATGTAATTGTAGTGTAACTATTTTAATTACTTTGTCAAAGTAATGTAACTTATTACATTACTTTTCAATGACCTTTCTAAATTTCTAATGAATGTTTTCAGCTGTTATCCATTTTCAAAAGACAGCTTAAGAAGGAATTTAACGGTGGCGCTGCATCAGAACAGTATCCAACTTCACTAAACAAATGTGGCTATGTGGAAATGGCTAAGGAAGACATTGTGCACATAAAAAAAGAAAAGCAGAAAAAACAATATTCTTCATAACATATGCCTAGCTTTTTACAGAAAATATTCAGATGTCACCCCCTATGTGATCATGAAATTTTTCATAAGTGACTGTAAAAACATTTTTTTCCCCAGTAACTGTGACGGATTACGGTTTTTTATATTTATTTTGTAGCTAAATTACATGTAACTAGTTACTCCCCAACACTAACACTGTACGTTATATCTTGTATGTTTAAACTGAACAAAAATAAAAGTGAGTATTATTGCTAAGCCAGCAAGGAAGTCACTGCACCTGGGCAATGAATAGTCTGGCACATGTGTGTGTGTGTGTGTGTATATATATATAGATATATAGATATATATATCTATATATCTATATATATATATATATAGATATATAGATATATATAGATATATATCTATATATATAGATATATAGATATATACAGTGGGGGAAATAAGTATTTGACCCCTTGCTGATTTTGCAGGTTTGCCCACTTACAAAGAATGCAACGATCTATAATTTTAATCATATGTACATTCTAACAGTGAAAGACAGAATCACAAAGAAAATTCCAGAAAATCACATCATATGAATTTATTAAAATTGATAACCATCTGATGAGGAAAAACAAGTATTTGACCCCCTGGACAAACAGCATGTTAATATTTTGTAGAAAAGCCATTATTGGCCAGCACAGATGTCAAACGGTTTTTATAGTTGGTGACAAGGTTTGTGCACATTTCGGCAGGGATGTTGGCCCACTCCTCCCTGCAGACAGCCTCCAAATCATTCAGGTTCCGAGGTTGTCGCCTGGCAACTCGAATTTTAAGCTCCCTCCAAAGATTTTCAATTGGATTCAGGTCTGGAGACTGGCTAGGCCACTCCAGAACCTTGATGTGCTTCTTCTTCAACCACTCTTTTGTTGCTTTGGCGGTGTGCTTAGGGTCGTTGTCGTGCTGAAACACCCATCCTCGACCCATCTTCAGCTCTCTCACTGAGGGAAGGAGATGTTGGTCCAGAATTCCACGATACATGGCCCCGTCCATCCTCCCCTCAATACGATGGAGTTGTCCCGTCCCCTTGGCTGAAAAGCACCCCCAAAGCATGATGTTGCCACCACCACGCTTGACAGTGGGGATGGTGTTCTTTGGGTTGTACTCGGTGTTCTTTGCCCTCCAAACACGACGAGTTGAGTTGAGGCCAAAAAGTTCTATTTTGGTCTCATCTGACCACATCACCTTCTTCCAGGCCTCTTCTGAGTCGTCCAGGTGGTGAATGGCGAACTTCATGCGGGCCTTTACATGTTTCTTCTTGAGCAGGGGGACCTTGCGTGCGCTGCAGGATTTCAATCCATGACGGCGTAGTGTGTTACCAACCGTTTCTTTTGTAACTGTGGTCCCAGCTGCCTTCAGTTGATTCATCAGTTCCCCCCTTGTGGTTTTGGGATGATTCCTCACCGTTCGCATGATCAGGGACACCCCACAAGGCGAGATCTTGTGTGGAGGCCCAGACCGAGGGAGGTTGGCGGTGGTGTGGTGCTTCTTCCATTTCCTGATAACTGCACCGACAGTTGATCTTTTCTCTCCAAGTTGCTTTCCGATTCTCTTGTAGCCCATCCCAGCCTTGTGCAGATCAACAATCTTGTCCCTGATGTCCGTAGAAAGCTCTTTGGTCTTGCCCATGGTGGTGATGTTGGATGCTGGTTGTTTGGGTGTTGACAGGTGTCTTTTATACAGGTAACGAGGTGAGGCAGGTGTATTTGATGTAGATAATTGGTTGGGATTGGGGCTGTGTCTTAAAGAAAGACTAACTGGCTTGTAGGAGCCAGAATACTTGCTGTTTGGTAGGGGGTCATATACTTGTTTTTCCTCATCAGATGGTTATCAATTTTTATAAATTCATATGATGTGATTTTCTGGAATTTTCTTTGGGATTCTGTCTTTCACTGTTAGAATGTACATATGATTAAAATTGTAGATTGTTGCATTCTTTGTAAGTGGGCAAACCTGCAAAATCAGCAAGGGGTCAAATACTTATTTCCCCCACTGTAGATAGATATATATATATAGATATATATATATATATCTATAGATATATATCTATATATATATATATATATATATATATAGATATATATAGATAGATATATAGATTAGATATAGATAGATAAGTCAAATTAATTTTTTTTTAAAATGTAAATGATCTATTGAATGATCACTTAGAAAACCACAAATTCACATTTACTCACTTCAATTTATTGAATGGATTAAACAAACAAGATATACTGTGTATTTTTTGCTGTTTCTCCCTTCTCCCTAAGCCCATGGTTCTCAAACATTTTTTCTGTCATGCCTTCCTTAAGAAGCAAAAAAAGTTCAAGTCCCTTGTCTCCAGAAAGTGGATTTCATTTTTATTAATCATTAACAACATGAACGATAGAAAAAACAAAAGATTCAGATTAGCAAAATAGCCTTACTAGCATCAGATACCTTTTTTTGTTTATGTCACCACATGAATCACATTCATGCAACTTTCAAAGCCCCCAGTCAGTGTTACCCCTATGATCTCTATGTGTTCCTTGACAGGGTGTTTGGACGGTATGTGTGGTTTCCCTCTGAGTCAGTACCTCCGCGACCGGTCCTGGTTCTGTGGCAGAAACGCCAGGATGTCTGCTTGTTTGGTGAGTTTGGACAACACCTGGAAAAAATGTGCACAGCAGCCTCCTTTCCTACGTGAATATCTTTTAGATCCTCAGACTGTAATAGGTATTGCAAAAGCATATATAATGAGTGGCAGTTAACCGTTTATAAGGAGGCCATGTGGAGTGTTTTGTCCAAGAAATACTTTGTCTTAACCCTTTACCGTTTGTCAAAAAAAAAAACAGGCTCTTGAGAGAGTTTCGCTCGGCCAAGGGGTAAGTAATCCACGCGTACTAATTGTAATCAATATCATCGTCACACAAGAATGAGAGTTAAATGCCTTTCACTAAACTCATTACGTCACATCAATCAAAACAAAAATATATCAAATGATTATCAAACCAGAAATATGTGTGTACACAATCACTGAAGTCTGTATTATCTTCAGCGTAGATCTCCTACACGCATTCAAACAATCAGCTAACAATTCTATTGTTTTAAGTCTGTGATTGACTACAGTGTATTTATTTGAAATGTAGAGCCCGCGGCTTTCTGCCAAAGTTGATACACGATACCGCCAGCCATTAATATGGAATGTTTATAAATATTAATGCAATCAGGATAAGATTGATTACTCGTTGGAACTGGGGCTGGCCTGATTGCTTGCGAGTCTTGCATCAGGCTTTGAAAGTGTCAGAAATATTCATCATCTTTTCGCACACAGGCTGGACGAATCAGAAGGGAATAACAAACTTTTTAACGTGAAAAATATAGTAAACTGCATTATGTTGAATGAAGTTTGACGGTTTCTGCAGATTCAGATGGAGTCTCTGTTTTACCGGGCAGTTCTTCACGTTATTCTGAGGGATCACTACAGCTCCTTTAAAAGGTAACACACGGCAGTTTACATCTGGCATTACTTTAATTAGAGAAATTACAGCAAGTGTCTAGCACCTTAAATATTTTCTCGACTTTTTTTTTCTATCATAGTGTATTATTTCACAGCTTCCACACATGTGCTGTACAAGGATTAAAACTCGCTCACTGCAATTTCTTTTCTCTGAACCAGAAAATGTTTTTGTTTCAGGTTTATTTAGGTTATGAATGAACCAAGAAAGGATTAGTGGATCCACAGAAGATTTTGGAACAACTTTTGATAATCACTTGATTAAGTCATTCTAAGCAAAAATGACAAACTATTTGTAGAGTTCCAGGTTGTCAAATGTGTTTAGGTGATTCCAATGTATTTTGTAGAAATCATCTTGGGCTCTCAAATATCCTGGTGCATTTTTCATTTTTATAAAATGCAAAAAGGACAGGAGCTGTTATATGCAATTCAGTGGAAGATGTATTATTCTAAACATGTGCACAAATACACGCACTTAATTACATACAGGACACAGTAAAACATGGAGTGGCAGCTACTCTGGATTGCAACATGTTTCAGGTTTGGCGCTTCCTTGAGGCCTGTGTTTGTGCACAGATTTCGGATGTTACATTTTCTCACTTTTCTGCGTTCAGCATCTCCGCTTCTTTTTTTTCCCCCGCCGTTTCCCGCTGTTTTTCACGGATTGTTAATCATTTGTAGAGCAAACAACACACTAAAATAAACAACACATTCTAAGATAATGAGAAAAATTAATTAGTTGCACCCTTAACAGTTTTTCATTCATAGAAATGAACTTTTTCTGCTCATAGAGGTCTGTGAAGATCATGCAGAGTAGAAAGCAGTTTGGCCTTGCTTCAGTTTGTTATGCTTTGCTCTCCAAACATGAGTAACTGCTGGCTCTTAAGAGTCAAAACCTGCTGGTTTACACCCATAAAATCTTAAGTTGTTGTTATTTTGCATTCCTAATGAATGAGCTTTGGCGGATGATGGTCGTTGCTCTCCTCTACCTAAACAAACTAAATTCTTGATGTAAATACTGCAGATTTCAGTGAGCCCTTATGAAATGTGCTCAAAGCTTCCTGAAAGACACTGAGCATTGCCTGGTCCCCACTGCTCTGTGACCTTCAGTTTAATGGCTAACATAAGGTCAGGATCGAATATCCATTACTTTTCTCTAAGCAGCACCTATTCATCACTATTTAGTCCTTTTTAGAAGCGTTTAACAGTCTGGTTCTGGTTGCTAAGGTGTGATTAAATGCAGAACAGGAGACACAACATGAGACTAATTAAAGAGTGAATGTTGTTTATTTCATCGGGCAGAAATGAGATGTTCAGGGACTGAGAAAATTATGTGTGTGTCTTTTTGCTTCGCAGTGAAAAGCGAGTTGGGAATGTCTATTCCAAGGCCAAATCGTTTGTGGACTACGTTCGTCGAGCTCTACGCCGACTGGAACTGGATGAATCACAGGTCGGGACCAGAATATTATTACAGTCATCTTACAACATCTTCCACAAGCAAACTGGAAAGTTCACTGACAAAACACAGCACTGTAGGAGAAATACCTGTGATTTTTAGCACGATTAGAGGGAAAATGTTTCCTCGTTGGTGTTTATTAGAAAATATTCCAACTCACGTCAGGTTAGTAAACTACACAGATGCTTAAGATACTTGCTGTCTTGGTTTAGGATGTTGCCAGGCCCCAGGATGTTGAGGAGTTTGTCATCTGGTTGCCCTGCGTATCCATGGGAATACGGATGACGTGTTTCTGTCTGTGTTATGTCCTTCACAACTTCAAAAGACTTTCTTTCGACATCCTCCTTCAATCTCTCACTTTTAGTCCCCCTGAATTCACATTCAAAGCCGCCATATTCTGACTCAAGTGCATGACACCGTACTCTTTTTCTCCTCAGCTTTTGGACAGTGACATCCAGGGTTACCACGACACATACAGGCCGCGAATGGACGAGATGCATGCCTTCAATATGGTGAGTCCTCACACCCACTTGCCTGTACGCCATCCTTGTGTTAAATTGTTATCCTACACTTTACAGCCACAACATCCTGTTCAAACTCTACTTTGTGTAAAACAATTTTGTTCATGTAAAATGAGATGTATAATGCCAATAAATTGCGGACCATTAAGTGAGATCATTGCAGTCTGTGGGGACGTAAAACAGGAATCATTGTACAGAATGGGAAGAAAACCAGGCCACTAATTGTGGTGTCAACCAACATACCAATTTCCTTTCATGACATAAAGCAGTAAAATGGTTTTTGGGGATTGCCCACAAGCTACTGGGAAGACACTAGTCATGGTGGGTTTTAGTATGTTGTTTTGGGAGTAGCCTAAAAGAGACAACTTACAAGAAAAGTGCCATTTTGTATCAGATAGATGGAGAGGTCCCTGTTGAAAACACTGATACGAAATGAACACATATATTTAAAGGAATATCTTTCCTCTCATGTCATCATCTTTGGGTAGTTGAAGGTGGCGCTGGCCCCATGCATCGAAGGTCTGATTCTCCTCGATCGCCTCTGCTACCTGAAAGAACAGGTAAAATCATTTCGGTCACATCAATCATCAATTTGTTGCATGTGTGGATCTGCTCCCATGAACATATCTGCTTAGGTATAACACAGACTTGTCAGTGAGCTCATGGACCCCCTTTGGCAGAACCTAGAATACTCTTAAAAAGTCAGATAAAGAAGTCGTCATACTGAATAGACGTATAGAAAGAGACTGGAGAAGGGAACTTGCTGGGAGGCAGAAAGTGGTGTAGCAGCAAAGGTGTATGTAGAAATAAAGAACACAGACTAAATCTGTTTATATGGAACGCCTAGTTCTTAGGCTATGATTGTATATATTAGAAAGCGTTTGAAACATTTGACTTTTTCCACAGTTCCTGTGTGTGTGTGTGTGTGTGTGTGTGTGTGTGTGTGTGTGTGTGTGTGTGTGAGTGTGCGCTGGACAGAAACTGGAAGCTGGTCATTTTGAAAAAGCAAGACAACAATATTTTTATAAACCAAGAAAAAAGCCTACAAGGGAAAAAATATAAAAAAAACATACTAAACTGACTTGGTAGGTTAAACTTGCCTTTAAGTTGCCTTATCGTGATGTCTTCAAATATATCTATCCCAGGAGCCCAAGAAAAGATTCACATTTTAGAAGTTGAAGCCAATACCATAACCCATTTCTATAATTCCTAAAAAATTACGAATAGTTAATGACTTGAATTAAATTAAAGTTGTATTTGGTTTATTTTCTGTAATTTAGTAATTTAAATAAGTTTGTGGAAATAAATCAAATGTTTTCTAACAAAACTCTCAAAACACTTTGAAAACAAATTGAAATTTAACAAACTAGAAAATAAAAATCATGCAAACTGTACTAACATTAAAACAGCGCAGTCATAACTTGAACATTAAAACATTAGTCATGTAACACATAGGGCTCACTTATTCTCCTTTTTCAGCTGGACTCATCTTTGTAATTTGCTTGTACAGCTTGTTGATTGAGATGTGAAATGTACTTCCCAGATGATGAAAGCGTAGAAATCTCAGCTGAAATCTGGAAACCTTTTTTTGATTCAGACCACTGACAATAATATAAGCGCTGGCTAAATTAAGTCCACTTGGAATTGAATGTCTTGTGCTTCTGCAGCCAAACACAACATGCTGATCTTTGGTTGGAGTCATTGTGATGAGATATGTACGAGCCGAAAGCTTTGAAGTTGTGGTTACATGTGTGGCTGTGTGTCAGATGGACTTCCTTAATAGGCTCGTGTAATCAAACTATATAACGTCAAGAGCGCTGGTCCGCTTCGAGAGATATCCCTCGAGGAGTAGCAGAGGAGGAAAAAGAGGAAGTGATGGATGCATGTGAATGTGATCCATATGATGATAAGTTTGCTGAAGCATGTTCAGACTTAAAGAAGAATATACACACAGAGATTAGGTTGTTTAAGTTTTGAACAGGAGCTGTGATTATCATTCAAAAACATACTTTAGATTTCCATGTTTCCAATAGTCAAATTATGATCTACGTGTATACAATGTATACATTTTCTGATTGACCTTTGCTGACAGGTCAAGGGACCAAAATGTGTATGATGAAACATGATTTGGTGATCGAGATTCAATATCAACAGCTCTTGGGAAAAACTGTTTGCTGGACTGCAAGAAATTTTGGAGACATTCATGGTTACCAGACACACCCTAATAATACCCGCTAATCAGAAATAATTAAATTACATAAGTAATAGATAAATTGGTAGCAATAGTTAGCTAAAAGTATTGGTAAATAGTTGAGATAGTTAGCTAAAAGTGTTGGATAAATGGTTGAGATAGTTAGCTAAAAGTGTTGGATAAATAGTTGCAATAGTTAGCTAAAAGTGTTGGATAAATAGTTGCGATAGTTAGCTAAAAGTGTTGGATAAATAGTTGCGATAGTTAGCTAAAAGTGTTGGATAAATAGTTGCGATAGTTAGCTAAAAGTGTTGGATAAAGAATTGAGATAGTTAGCTAAAAGTGTTGGATAAAGAATTGAGATAGTTAGCTAAAAGTGTTGGATAAAGAATTGAGATAGTTAGCTAAAAGTGTTGGATAAAGAATTATGTTGGATAAAGAATTGAGATAGTTAGCTAAAAGTGTTGGATAAAGAATTGAGATAGTTAGCTAAAAGTATTTGATAAATGGTAGAAATAGTTAGCTAAAAGTATTGGATAATTAATTGAGATAGTTAGCTAAAAGTTTGGGGTAAATAATTGAGATAGTTAGCTAAACGTATTGGATAAATAGTTGTAGTTAAATAAAAATTTGTGAACATTGTAAACAAACCTGCTGGACATCAGCATGTTGGCACCATCATTGTGTTAGAATGCTAACATTGGATTAATCCCACATTTACGTAATATCGTTCAGACAATATTTATGAGAAAACGAATTGGAAAAAATGCTCACAACAGCCTTTGACTTGTAATTCTGAGCCAGAGATATAATTTTTGACAGTGACAATATCTCCAACCTACTAAAAAAAATAGACAAGTGTCAACAAACTGGTGCTAATATGGTTGCAAAGCCTCCATTGCTGGCAGCTAGATCTAAATGAAAATATCAATTTAGATATCAGATCAATATTAACACCATCTGTTTGTATCTGATTTGACTTGTTAGGGAACTCCTCCAAATACGCAACACAGCAAAAGTAGCTCATAGGGTATAATTTAAATTGTGTGACTAGAAGGCTGACATGCAATAATGAACCCTCCCAAGTCAGAAAAACAGGTTTTCCCGATCTTTCCATTCTGACAATGTTGTATGAATGCAGAAAAAGTACGGTCTGATAAAGTGTGGCTGAAAATGACCTACAGTATATCGTAACAGTAAGCCATCAAGAAAGACATACTTTTTTTACTCCACTTGACACAATATTTGTACAGATGTTTCTTCTCTGGAGATTCAATAGAGAAAGCTTTAATAGTGAGAACATCGTACAGCAGAGGATTCCAGGGGTCACAAACTGGGAGCAGAATCAAGATTTTTATGTCCATGTATATTTTTTTTTTTATTCAGTTTGATTGTGTCTTATTGTTTTTGGGTGTTTGTCTTTGTATCCTCCAGGTGGATTTATCATTCTCTGCACTGGTGCAACTCTTTGATCCCCTACTGTCACCAAGATGTTACGCTGTTGTTGGCCTGAAGAGTTACAAAGTCAGAATTTAATGCTGATGAACTTATACATATGCGCATGATGATAATACGCAGGTCATAATTATACATGATCATATCAGCAATCTTCAGAAGTGATTGTATTATGTATGTATTCTCTCCTGATTGTTTTAATTATATGTATGATTTAATCAAAATTTTATAAGTTATTTATGCTGTCTCTGGATTACTTTCAGTACCATCTTCTTTTGTTTTATATGCTTAATAAATTTTTTAATTTTTGTAGCGTTTAGTCCTTGACCTTGTTTGCCTTGTGAAAACACATGCTCAAAACACCTGGAAAAACTGTCAGGCCTGTTTTGATTGAATTGTATCCGTCTCAGCCTTTTGTCTTTATGTTTGGTGACTCTTAAGAAAACACTTGCTTTTAAGGACCGTTCAGGGATCCAGGGGCATTGTGGGATTTACGGAGGCTTGGATCCCCTCTGTTGACAACTCTGGAAACCCCATTCCTAGGTGGAGGTAGGGGAAAAGACAGAAAGGGCAAGAGGCACCCTTGACCCCGTTTTAACCTTTACTTCTGTTTTGCTCTGTCTTGGTCATTTAATAAATCACGCTCTCCTTACATGTTTGATAACAAATGTTATAGCCTTGAGAACACATGAATTATGGTAGTGGGATTTACACTAAACCAGACAAAAGGTAAGGTGGGAAATGGAACATTTAAGGGACCAAAACATCAAATAAATTTATAGTGGGACTGTATTCACTTCATTTACAAATTAAAATATACTATTAGAAATCCTACAGTAATTAACATTTTCTTATAATGAACTCTCTTACTTTGACATAGAGATATAGTCCACCTCTGTGTTTGACATTTTGAGAGATTTTCACTCGGTTACTCTTCTGTAGAGAAGATGGTCAGCTATTCCCAACCAGGGGGTACTTCTGCAGTTGCCAGGGTAATGTAGAAAGATCAACTAATTTGAAAAAACAGAAATTGTGATTTCATCCATCCGTCCATCGTCAACCGCTTATCCTGCTCACAGGGTCGCCGGGGCCGGAGCCAATCCCAGCTGATATCGGGCAAAAGTCGGGGGACACCCTGGACAGGTTGCCAAAGAAATTGTGATTTGATTAAGTAAATATTAGGCTACCACACATTGAGATCACTATAACACTTGAATGCCACCTGTAAAAATACATGAAATGTTTTAGTGAGTAGAGAAGTTGTAACAGTTAACTAGAAGTACACAAATGGATAAATACTTAAAGCTAAAGTAAAAAAGACATTGATGAAAGTAATGAATAAATGGTTGAAATAGCTAAAAGTAATGGATAAATATTTAAAATATTTAGCTAGAAGGAACCCAATGGATAAACTGTTGGAATAGTTAGCTAAAAGCAATGGAAACGTGGTTAGTTAGCTGTTTTTTGGGTCCTGTACTTCTAATCTGTGCTAATTAGCAAATGTAAAAATGCAAACACGCTAAACTGCAATGATTAAATAAAATTGTTAGGTTGAATTAATAGGTGTATGGTTGAAAAAGTTAGCTTTAAGTAATTGATAAATGGTCAAAATGTTCAGCATCTGTCACTACTAGGTAGCCTACTGTAGCAGAATACAAACTTGACCAAACCAACCAAAATACTGACAGTTCAATTGAATATGAATAATTTATTGTAACACTATCTACCTTTATATAGTTTAAATAAACATCCAGTTTAAAGTCAATTAAAAAAACGAGGGTTATTGAGTTCATCTGGCTGTATGGCTGACAAAAATGTTTTGGAACCACTAGCTTAGGTTATCTCTTTCATAATGAAAACTAATTATGTCAAATAGTGACTTGTGTCTTACACTACCCACCACTGAGTCAGTAATGGTCATGGCAGCTCTGCATGTGACAGTGTTTATTAAAGCTGTATAGAACATCCATTTTACACAATCATGGAAAATATCTTGAACAAAATTAGCCTGAATCAAAGGCAATTTGAAACACTTTTCCACTGTGCGAAGCTCTTCCTTCTATCACATCTTCCATAGCTTCAATTATTTGTCACTGTAGTTTCAGCAGCCTGCACATCTGTAGGCCATCCATATGTCTGTCAACATCACAGTGGTCAAACCGTGTCCCATAACCTTATTTTTGTCTTGGCAAAGACAGATGGTGAGGCTTTCTGCTGCGTCTGGACCGTGTTTGGATGCAGCTCCGTGTTTCGCACTGACAGCTTACTCTAGTGGCCAAACCGGACTGACACGAATGCAAGCAATTCAAGATGTGAAAGAGGCTCGTTTTGAGATATAAATGTTACCGGGTTTTGTTGTGGCCGAGTGAGTCACGTCCCGTAGAACTGTCCTGTGCTTGATGCTTGCACGCATGTTTGCACACATGTATATCTATATAACACACCATGGAACAGTCTCTTTCATGTGCCCACATTGACAGCAAGACACACAAACAGCCACAAAAAAAGGGAAATATTACAGGATGTGATGAAGGCTGAAAGACAGAAATAGTCTGCACAGGGGAATAATCTGAGGCAGTACCACCTCAGATGACTTCTTATTGCAAGGTAGGAATGAGAGGAAGTGGTGGGGAAGTGAGGGGAGCGCGTCAAACACTTCGGCCCTCACTGTTTCTCACGCTGGATATGAATCAAGTTCCTGCTACCCGCCTCCTTCATTTGAAAAATCATCTCAGGGTTCCTCCAACTTCATAAACAGGACGGGGCCAACATTTGGCCAACAGTTTTGTAGACTGCATTCAATAATGTCTGTATAATCCGTTCTCAGCTGGTGAATGTTTTGGACTTTTCTTGTGAATGGGGAAACTGACTTTATTAATGAACCCTGGAGTATGAAAGGGTACAATTTGGAAGGGAAGTAGCAGCCTTTATCAAGCATCAACACAACTTGGAAAAGAGGGAAAGTAGTGAGAGAAAGATATGGGCCAGCTGAAGTGGTCACTTTAAATGTCAGAAAGCATGGCGATGGTGAATAAGCCATTTAAAGGTCTGTTACCGTGTCTCATGCACACACACTACTAAACCACTTTTACTTCTGCATCCACTCTCATACACACAATCCTAATTTTTTTTCCATCTCAGCATAATCATCATGTTGTCCAGTTTTAACTGTCCCAAGCACAAACTGGGATTTTATTATTTATTTTTTGTCCTGGGCGCACAGCCATCAGAGACAAGGGTGCCAGGAAGTGGCCCTGGCTGCCATCATCATGCCCCTCCAGTGACAAACAGACTACATTTCTCTGCCAGATGACCTGCTTGTGAGAAAGAGGGGGATTTGGCTGGACGTTGAGCTGGGCACACACTGCTTGTTCTAGATTAAAATCACTGTTATCACCTCATGTCACTGCAGATTTATCCTCTAAAGAGCCACATGGACAAAAATGCATTTCACATCTGTCAAGAGATTTATCTGTGGATGTGCAAACAGGCACGTCAAGCCGTGCAAATGTTTGACTCGGCGTGTCAAACAATGTCACCCTCAAGAAACATTTGATGGAGAACGGACAACTGCTGTTTTCAATGTAAAACACAGTCAACACATACTTCCAGTAACAATACTTGCCCTGTGATTCATATTTTCCATTAATCTTGCCCATTGTTTGGCCGTGTTATCCAGATTAATATCAAATTAGATCAATCTAAAACATCTGCCAAGTCATACAAAACAGAGAAAACTAGAAACTGGTATGTGTGGTTTGCAGAAAGTCTATTTCTAAAGCTTCAACCTCTAATGCCGTCGTTCTCAAAGTGGGGTGGGGGGCACTTGATGTGGTGACATAAACAAACAAAAAGGCTCTGATGCTAGCAAGGCTATTTTGCTAAACTCAGATCATTTCAGTCACCTGTGTTGTTAATGATTGACATGATGAACTTCTTTTAGCTTCTGAAGGGGGGCGTGAGAGAACCACTACTCTAATGTCATTGCAAAACAAATGTAATGCTTTATTTCTCCCTGTTTAAATATAATATACACGATTACAAGTGCTTTGTTTGTATATTACTTAAATACATATACAGTATATAGGCTATCCATCACAAGCGTCTGCTTGGATTATTATGATATGGTGTTTTATTTGATCTGTTTTTGATTTATTTAATTTTGACAATCTGTGTTTTTTTTCTATTCTGAAACAATACTATCCAGAATCCTTCTAACCACTATTCAAGCCATCTTACAGCACGTCATTAGTGTGGTTTAACAGTAACTGTAATAATAAACAGTCATTATAACTGATCCATCTTAATTTAGCACCAAACCCAAACAATCATCAAGCCCCCCCCTTTTTTACCCAAACAGTTATATTTCTGATCTCCTGAGCAGAAGAGGAGGTGACACCCTTGCGGATGTTCCACAAACCAGGGTGGATTTGATTTGGTCTGTGATCTCTCCTGATTTTAGGTTGCTGGGCTTCAATGTTGATATTAATACCACGAGTATGCTATTCCTGTGAGGGCAGGGCCCGGGCACGGTGCCTCCAGCTGTGATTATCTGCTTCCTGTGTGATGTTTATCTGCTGGGGGGGAAGAAGCAGTGGTTCCGGAGAAAACAGCAGGGGGAAATTACCATTACTCACTTTGTATGACTTAAAGGGGAGCGGAAATCTCTCAATAACATCATCAATGGAAGTAGAGTTTGTTGGAAAAGATTTTCCTGTTGGTCAGATTTGTCTTTTGTCTCATGAATTGGATATGTGAACGTAATGGGAACATTATCTTCTGTTTAAAAAAGAAAACCATGAGGAATATTAAACTGTGCCTTTAGACTGCATAATCCGTGCACAATGCACAATGATGCACGAATGAATGAAAAGGAATAGTTAAACATTTTGGGAAATACAAATAGACATTGATATTGAAAATGTGTCCAGGGCCTTTAGAAATCTGCCATCACTTCAAACAAAGAAATCCCAGTCCCTGCTGTTCTCATCTGTGACACACGATGGTGGAACGAGCTACCATACGCCATCAGAGCAGTGGGGTTCCTCTCTAACTTCAAGAAGCTCTTGAAAACTCATCTCTTCCGAGAACACTTCCTCTTATAACACCTCTAACGCCTAATCTCTAACATGCACTTCCTGTGCTCTTCTTCTTCTATCCCCTTACAGTTATCTTGTATTGATTGCACTTTTTGTTAACTCTACTTCTTTCCCTAGGTATTTACCCCATTGATGTGATATGTGCCATTAGCGCTTACTAGTATTTATTGCTGCTTTTACTAGTATGTATTGTCAGTTATAGATCTCGTGCTG